TATATATATATATATATATATATATATATATATATATATATATATATATATAAAATAAGCGCTATACTAGCTCACATTTTTCATAACGTGTCAGAGATCTCTTTTTTTAGCTGAAACGTCGAACCACCTTTGGTCAGTATCGCAAGACCGAATCTTTTTATTTTTCTCCGCTGTAGGTAGATGGCGTGACGCCTCTCAGGCCGTTGTCGTTTGGCCGACACGCTGTAGACGGCGCGCGGCTGCGCAAATCGGTGTAGTGCGCCGCGAAAATTGCGAAAGCAAACCGCGTAATGACGTCGCCGGCAGCAAGGGCACCTGGATTCCTAGTTCCTTACCTGGCACCTGCCTACGATGCACCGTGGAGGTGCCCGAGGCGTGACAGCGGAATCAACCTGGCAACGTGTGCGCGGCCACTCGCTGTTACTCGTGTCATACTCATCGAGTGTTCTCACTGTGACATTTCGGCATTCTCGCGACGGGCCCGCCGGGACGGGCGGAACGGGCGGAACGGCACGGAAGCGTCGAGAATTTCGCGATATCGGGAACGGAAGCGATCGGCCGGCGCGAATATTCGCCGTGCGATCAGAAATTCGCTCGTGTGCAACGCGAGTGCGAGGCCGGTGCGGCAGTTCGCGTGCCGACTCACGGACGGATTTTTTAAGTGCGACGCACCCCTCCCCTCCCTTCCCCCTTGCCCCTCAAGGATAACGCCGGACCGCGCGAGAGTGGCGTGTGACGACTCCCTGCGTGCGAGACGACGGCCAGTTTTCAGGATTCGACGAGTGAGCGATCGGGTGAGTCTCTATGGATTATCTATCGGCCGACAACCTTTTCCCTTTCGACGCGCCCTACGGCCGTTTTATTTATAAGACGCCTACGAACATCGAACGCGTTCGTTTCGCGGGCGTTACGTAAAAGTACGACGGCGCGAACGATGAAATGTGAGTCACGTTTTGTGCGAGCCGACATCGCCTGGGTGAAGTCACGTCCCGTGACTTACCGATTTTGTTGATCGCGACGATTTCCTTTTCGCGACTTTCAACATTGAACGACGCAATGAGCCGCCATTTTTATTTTCTCTTTTGATCGGTCAGTGACACCGTTTGACAAGATAATAGTCTGTAATAATCTCGCATTTATTATATTACGGGGAATGTTACATATTCTCAGCGGACACTTTCTTATTGTAATTTCAAATTAATCAAGAACAACGCGCGCGCGCGATTTCCGACATCGGAATGTTCGAAATCAAAACAATGATAAGCACCGGACGTTGTTGTGCGTTGTTGTCGTGAAGATGACATTTTCTCTGTTGACGTTTCTCCTTTACATGAGAATTGAGAACAGCGTGAAAACAACTTTTTGTTTGTCTGTTTGTAGGTACTAGTAACGCGAGTCCTTTCTCCTAGCGAAGATCAGTGATTAACAAGTGCGCTCACGGACGCTCGTGTGTTGGCCGCCTTATCGTTCCGGTTAATCTCAGGTAAGAGTAATTAGTCTCGTAACTTCGAAAACTATCCGGCGCGTGGTTCCCATCGGTTCGGTTGAATTAATTACGATACACGTCGCGTATTTATCGCGATGATGGGCACCGCCGACGTCGCCGTCACACGTTCCCATTCACGTGCCGCAATTATCGCGGTGTCTGTGAGCACTGTCGTGTTTATGACGGAGCTCGGATGCTTCGCACGAACGGCACGATCTATCTATTAATAAATCGTGATTATGCACCTGTGTGGAAACCTAACGATTCGCGCTACCGACCTGTATAACTACCGAATACCTAACCGCCGCACAACCACTGACGCTAATTGAAAACTATCTATTTCGCGAAAATATTTCGCGTACTTCGTTAGCGAGATTCGCATCTCAAAACACCCGAAAGAATTATCGCTCGCGATAATTACGGCACGATGAAATAGATGGGACTTTATACACCTCAGATGGAAAGTTTCAGGTGAAAAACTATAGCTGTTCATTAATTGCTTGTTATAGATATTGTACTCGATATTTTCTAGCATATGAAAGAAAAATGTCGTTAACGTATTATGGAATATCACGTTAATGTCACAGCACGTTATAACATTTTGATATATGAACAATCGATCACTCTCAGTATTAATAGTTATCATTTGAAACTTATCTCATGTGAAACTCAGTATTAATTTTTATCACTTGAAACTTATCTCTTATATGAGTTTCTCAGATTTTTACTCAGAGGCATTCAAATTTTTCAATCGAATTGTGATATTTGTGATATTTATATTTGTGATAGCGATCGTTTTTCAACTGAAAAACGAGAACTCATTTAACTTGGATTTAAGTTTGAGTATTTCACTTGATTAAGTTTGAGTATTTCACTTTGAGATGTTTCAAGTAAGGTAAAAGTACCAATTTTCGAACACGTAATCCTAGATATTTTTATTGTTTTGATCTTTAAATACGAATATTTAAACTTTCAACATGAAATATATATATATATATATATATATATATATATATATATATACTAAACATACATGTATATTATTATATTTGTATATTATTATATTTGTATAATATTAGATAATTGAATATTATTATACATATATATATATATATATATATATATATATATATATTATTATACATATATTAGTATACTTCATGTTGAAAGTTTTAATATATTTAAAGACCAAGACAGAAAGAATGTTCAGGATTAAGTACGTTTTCAGGCATTGGTACTTTTATTTTAATAATTACTAATAAAGACCTCAAGCCTATATTAATCATCGTGTATTAGTCGTTACTTGAAACTTATCTGGCGTGAGATACTCAGATTTGAATTTAGAATTGAATCTAAGTTCTCTTTCCAGTTAAAACACGTGATATAAGTGACACTGTAACTGCAAGCACGATTCCACCGAAAAATTCACGTCCAACTCTAAAGTTGAATATGAGCATTTCACTTTATAGAAGCAAGTTTCAAACAATGACTATCAATACGGGCCTTAAGAACCTCAGAGATTATGCCTAAATTACAATTTCATCGTGAAACGTCGATTGTTTGCGAGTCGAACGATTTTGTCGGCGACGACGATTCAGTCGTCTCAATTCCAAACATGACGCTTTCCAAACTATTTTTCGGAACGCCCGAGAATATCGTAGCGATCCGACAAAATGTCGACGGCTGACACGCAGGTACAAATCCAGCCGAAACACACAAAATGCATTTGCCGGTTTAACGCAGTAGCTGTTGATAATGCACTCGCTCCGCATACCACAGACTCGATTTCGCCATTAGTATTCGCGAGGTAAAAGGTGTCTCGTCGGAATTTCGGTGCGTTATTGCAGCAGAAGGTAAAAACACGTGCGGAATGAGCCGGTTAATTGCGCGAGTCCATATATTCCCGAGAGGTCGTGCTCGATTCGCGATCGCTCTTACTCGTCGTCCGCAGCTCGCGCAGCCGAAGAATAAGTTTATCGGTCGGAAAAACGCGGCGCTTCGAGCCTCGGCTGATGTAATCGTCACGCAGGTGGGTTTCACGCGTAAGAAAATACGCGTACTTACGCACGGCTTAAATTACACGGCCAAGGAAGCTGGGCTTACGATCGTTCGTGCGCGCGCGCCTCCTCGTAAAATGCAAACAATGCTCCTCCTTCGTCATTCTTCGTAACAATCGCGGCCAATTACCGCCTTCCCTCCTCCTACTTTGTCCGATTTTCCTCGACAATCTCGCTCACGCTCGGCTCAGGTATTTTGTTTTCACCGAGCACTCGCGCTCACTCCTGCACGCACGCACGCACTCTACTTTTCATTTCGTTTATTGTCTCGTTGCATTCGCGTCGGGCATTTAAGATGGAGATAAATTGAGATCCTTAAGTGAAATTTCTCTATGCAACTGAAGAAATTGCACTTTATAAGCACACATACACACACACATACATGCACGCACGCACGCGATCTCACAAGCTTTGTCCTCGACCTCCGGTAACGTGGCGAAGGATGTAGTAGCCACTTGAATGCTTGCGGTAGGAATGCACTGCATCTTTTATTCGCGAAATGCGGTGCGCAGCGAAGGGAAGCGCTTATGAGAAATATGTGACGGATCGCTGACTCACAGAACCGTGCAAGTTCTTTCTCGATGCATTTTGCATAAATGTACGGCCAAAAAGGAATGCGCTCGAGCGGGAAAGATGAGAAAGCGAAAGGATTTATGAAAAACGACGGATTATTACACGCAAGGAAACGTGTTAATAACCATTATTGACAATAACGGCTGTCGGTTGTATCTACATTTTTGCGCTAACTCGAGAATGAATTTGAATGACTATAAAAATGGAAGAAACACTTATGGATTATCTTTATTTTTCAATCACAACTGATTTCTATATGCGATTACTACTGTCTGTTACTTGTTTCTTGTCACAGAATGATTAGTGACGAATTCCCGCGATCTATTTATCTCGTCTTGTTACATTCTCCAAGCCACATGAACTTGACGTGATTATGTTCTAGATTTTATCCCGCTTATTCGGTAAAACCGTGCTCACCGGTAATCAACAAGATATCAAAAGTATTTCAAAGACAACGAATATGACTCTACGGAATTCACGTAAATAATAAACTGGAAATTCCTCCTTCGTCGGTGGCATATCTGCGCCTGCCACTTAAACAATCGCGTGCCTATTGAGAAATTCTTGCCTTGAGAGGACATTACCTACCGCTCATCGGCGGTATGCATTCCCACACCTTCACCTTTATATACTCGTAATTTGCCATTTTCCGTGATAAGCGTGCGTTTCTAAACGTCGCGCGATCACAATTACGATTATCGTTTTATTCGCGAACGGTTCGAGAAGAAGTACGTGTTTTAAACTTTCTACCTCTTATCGACGCGCTCCTGTAATTAATTCTTTTCCAGTATTAGTGGATGAGTTTAAATATTCTCCCTCGCGAACACGTAGTATACAGGGTGTCCGGAAAGTACCGGGACGCCCGAATATCAGGAAAAATATAAGTTTTACAAAAAAATGTTTCAGACAAAAGTTGTGGCGTTTAAAAAGATGTATTTACTGATCACATCAGTTTGACCTTGGGTTGCGTAGCGAAGGTCAGGTCAAGGTCACATTAATTTTTTTAAATGGAA